TCCAGAAAGCATGAAACCGAGCAAATTAAAAGAACATTTTGCTAAAGTTCACAAGGAGTTCGCAGATAAAAATATAGATTTTTTTAAGAAAAAGGAGAGGATTCTGAAGTCTTCCCGCATGGATTCAACAGGCAATATACAGAAAGCAATGAATCATGCCTTCAAGCTTCATACAAAATTGCTTATCGCATCGCACGTAATAAAAAACCACACACTATAGGAGAGGACCTCATCAAACCTTGCTTGTTAGATGCAGTAGCACTTGTTATTGGTGAGCAACATGTAGCTAAGATTAAACAAATCTCACTCTCAAACACTACTATTCAAAGTCGCATATGTGAAATGAGTGCCGATATTCTAGCAACCGTTATTTCTGAAATAAAGGAAAGTCATATGTTTGCGCTGCAGTTGGACGAGTCCACAGATGTTGCTTCGTGTTCACAATTATTGGTGTTACACGATACATTAAAGATGATGATGTAAAGGAGGAATATTGTTCTGCAAGTCTTTGCCCACTACTACTCGCGGCGAAGACGTATTTCAAACGCTAAAAGAGTTTATTGAGGAAAATGGCCTAGACTGGTTAAAGCTGATTGGTACTTGTACTTCCCATGATGGGCATCCGTTCTGGTTTTCAGGCACTCGTGAAGCAAGTTGCTCCTCAAGTTTTCGGCTATCATTGCTTGATACACCGTTACGCTTTGGCTGTGAAAACGCTTCCATCAGATTTGCTAAACACGTTGAGTGACATAGTAAAAATTGTTAATCATATTCGAGGCAGCGCTACTAACTCAAGATTATTCAAAGTTTTGTGCGATGAAGTTGGTGCTACATTTAATGCTCTTTTGTACCATACAGAGGTACGTTGGTTATCAAGAGGCAAAGTTCTAAGTAGGGTTTACGAATTACGAGAAGAAATTGGATTGTTTTTTGAAAATCAGAGAACACAAAAAGAAAAAGAATATTATGCAAAAATTAAAGACCAAACATTTATTCTAAAAATGGCGTACCTTGCTGATTTTTTCACTGAAATTAATAGTCTGAATATTTCACTGCAAGGAAATGAAACGAATATTTTGACGTTGCAGGATAAAATCGCAAGTTTTTTGCGCAAATTGGAACTTTACCAACGCAGAGTTCAAGCTGGTGATGTGTCAATGTTTACACAACTAAGTGAGCAATTAGTAAATAATAAACAAGAGAAAATCTCGTTTGAAAATTCCGTGGTTCAACATTTAACTGCCGTGATAGACTCACTGCAGCAATATTTTCCGAACATGGACAGTCGTGAGTCCTACTCCTGGATTTTAAGACCATTTTCTACTTGCGTCGATATTTTCAAGGACGAAGATGTGTCAGCGAAAGTAGAGTTTCTCGGGCTGCGTGAGAATAACTCATTGAAAGTTGATTTTCAAAATGATAAACTAAGCACATTTTGGCGAAAAGCAGCTGCAGAATATCCCATTATAGCTGACAGAGCTTTAAAAATGTTGATTCCATTTGCTACAACTTACAGATGTGAAACTGGTTTCTCAACTCTTGTTACATTAAAAACAAAAGCCAGAAACCGTCTGAATGTTGAGCATGACATGAGATGCGCGTTGAGTGAAACCGAACCTAATATTGTCAAACTTGCGAATGCAAAGCAATTTCAACCTTCACACTAGTTAACTCCAAGATTTACATATTACTTTACTTTACTAGTTACCTAAACGTGCAATTTCTTAGAATTTAGTCAGATAATAAACATATTTTCGTTCGAATTTGTGTGGTTTTAATTATTTTAAATTGGCTAGGGGTAAACTCAATTCCCATACTTGTTTCACAGGGGTAGTGACATTGAAAGGTTAGGAACCACTGACTTATACGGACTACAACGTATCATTGGCTTTTGATACCATCTGGTTCTATACAAAACCTCATTCTCTGAGGTGTTAAGTCCAAATGTGAGGTTATGTTAAAGGACATGATCAATGAACTGGCAACCACTGATGGAAGGGGCTCACGGCGAATCGTTGCGGCTAGAATGAGCGACGAAATTGTGCGAGAAGGATACAGCTGATCCGGGCAGAAAAACGTAAACAAACAGTTGGATGTGTGTGCGTTTTCTATAAGTTTTGGTTGTTTTTTGTTAAGGTGCTATTTTAAAGCAATAACGAAGTTTGAGGTGATTGTTGTAAACATTATTTTTGGACCGTACAAACTTCAAGTGCTTTGTTTTGTCATTTGTGTTTCTAAAATGGTCGAATCGTGCCGTGCAGTGACTGTTGTAATAGGCGCAGAAAAGATGTAACAGAAATGAGTTTCATAGGTTGTTGCATCCTCCAATTCATTTTTGTCTGGTAGAATTTTGATCTTGATTAGTAATTTGAGAAAATATCTGAATTTTTAGGATTCCTACAGATCCTAACATGCGAAAGCTGTGGTGATCGCAATACGAAGAGTGAACTTTACAACCCAGCACATCAACAGTAATTTGTGAAAAACATTTCACACCTGATGATTATGAAGTTAATGTGCATGGAAATAGGGTACTAAAAAAGTCGGCAGTTCCATCTGTTTTTGATTTTCCTGCCCATCTCAAAAAAAAACCTACTGCACAACGAAGGGTATTGAAAAGAAAACGTGAGGAATCAACATCAAAAGAAACAGGTCTCTTTTGACTAATAAGTCTCAAATTGAGGTTTTAAGTTCTGTACTTCCACAAAAAGAAAAGATACAATGATTAAGTAGGTATAACTTAGTACCCTTATCATTTTTAGATCAAACCTTGGATATTTGTGAAGCAGTAGAAGAACCTGAAAATGACCCTATCAGTGTTGATGGAAATTTATTGGTAGCTGGACCTTCATCAAACTCAGCACTAAACCCAGAACACCTTGAATCAAGTGAACCTTCAAACATTTGCAATCTGCAAGCTGGACCTTCATCAAACTCAGCACAAAACCCAGAACACCTTGAATCAAGTGAACTTTCAAACATGTGCAATCTAAGGTAATTATCATCCAACTCTGGGTTTCTCATTTGTTACTTTTTTTCATTTTCATGTTCAGGAGAGAACCTGTATTCTTTGGAGACTTCAAATTTTCTGATTTAAGTAATTTGCAACGCAGGAAGAGATTCTGGAAATTACTCATGAGACTGTTTACAAGTACAGAAAAATGATCAAGTACAATAAGTGTACAATACGCAGACAAAAAGATAAAATAAATAGTCTGAATAGTCTAGTGGATCAACTATGTGAAGAGAAGAAAATATCTGCAGCTCAGTCATTAGTACTTAAGGTAGACATTTGATGGAAGGATATTTTCCTTTAAGCTTAAGATGAAAATATATTACAATTGCTACTTAGATTCCACTATTTTTGCTTGTGAAATTTGCATTTTTATTGTTTACTCTGTAGCATGTCTATTGATTGCTAGCTAGGGTGATCATTCTATCTAACTTTTTAGCCTGCATGAAATTTTCAGCTTATGCATGTATTTATCTTATTTTTACAGGAAAGTCTTTCAGAAACCCAAAAGCAGCTGCTTTTCAGGCAGCTGAAAAAAGGAAAAACTAACAAATATAGCCCAGAGTTGAGATGTTTTGCACTAACATTAAATTTTTATTCATCATCAGCGTACAACTATGTTAGGAAAATATTTGGAAAAAAAGTTTTACCACATCCACGCACTGTTTCAAAATGGTATAGTGTTGTAGATGGTACACCTGGATATAGCGAAGAAGCATTCGTGCTATAAAAATTAAGGTGGAAGCTGAAAAAGAAAAGGGAAAAAAGCTTGTTGGTGCCCTGATGATGGATGAGATGTATATTCATCAGCATGTACATTGGACTGGAGTAGAGCAGTAGGCTACATAAATATTGGTGTTACAATGCAAAGTAGTCAGGAGATGCCAAAGGCCACAAAGGCTTTAGTCTTCATGGTTGTTGGCATTAATACTAGATGGAAGTTCCAATAGCTTATTTCCTAATAGAATCATCATTGGCTGAAGAAAAGGCTACCTTTGTCAGGGGGTGCTTGTTACAATTGGAAAGCACTGGCATATTAATTAAAGTTTGACTTTTGATGGTGATGCATCAAATATCCTCATGGCAAACTTATTAGGTGCGAATTTAGGTTTTCCATGTAGTCAGCCTTTTTTCATTAATGCCAATAACAATGAGAAAATACATATAATATTGGATGCTTGCCACATGATTAAATTGGTTCGCAATACTCTAGGCGACTATGGCGCTCTAAAAGATGGTGGAGGGAATGACATTAAGTGGGAATATTTCAAACAACTTGTCAACCTACAAGAAGATACAGGTCTGCATTGTGCCACTAAACTTAGGAGGAGGCACCTGAACTACTATAAAGAAAGAATGAGAGTGAAGTTAGCAGTACAAACATTTAGTTCAAGTGTGAGTGACGCGTTAGAGTATTGTGAGAAAGATTTAAACATACCTTCTTTCCAATATGCAGAAGCGACTGCAACATTTGCAAAAATATTAATAATGTATCCGATCTGCTGAATACAAGAAATTTTATTGGCAGCACCCAGTTCAAAAAACCTTTATATAAAGGTAGTGAAGAGTTTTTAAGAAATTTTGTACAGACTTCTATTAGCTACTCAAGTACAGTAACAAATTACGAAGGTGTTAATATATTACAGACTAGTAGAAAAACAGGTTTTTTGGGATTGATTATCTGTTTGGTTAGTGTTCAAAATTTATTTGAAGATTTAGTGAAAAGTGGGACTTTAAATTTTTTATTAACGTACAAATTGAGCCAGGATCATTTGGAAATGTTTTTTGCCGCAGTACGTAGGAGAGGGGGTTTTTTCCAATAATCCAACAGCATGGCAATTTGAACAAGCCTATAAGAGGTTGCTGATTCACAGCGAAATTGCTTCCTCTGAAAGTGCAAATTGCTTAGCACAAGACAGCACCTCTATTTTGAATGTTACCTCAAAAAAAGTAAAAAATCCTTCTCTCGATGTACTGTATGAATTTGAGGAAGATTTTTCTCCCGATTTACAGGAACAATACATTGTTAATCACAATAAAATTTTAAACTGTGTGTATATTTGTGATGTTGTGGAATATATAGCAGGTTTTGGTCAGCAAAAAACTAGGTCAGACCCTGAATTGTAACGAATGTGCCAAATCAGTTACAACATCTGATTCTACTTGTAAGCTCCTGAATAGGAAAAATAGAGGAGGTCTAAGCAAGCCTACAAAAGATGTTGTTAAGTGTGTACGGTTGCAGAAGGTATTATAAAGACGGAGACTAACTTTTCCATTCCGAATATAATGTTGAAGTTGATCTCGCTGCAATGAGAAATTTAAATTTCAGGGAACGTTTTTTGTGTTTATCGGAGCACTGTACAGAACAAGACCCACTTGATGGCCATATCATTCAGTTGATCAGATTATTTGAAAAATTATTTCACTATTCGCCTTCCACCATATAAACTCGACCAAAAATCAAATTACCGACAGAATTAGGCAAAGGTTAACCAAAACAATTCATTTTAGAAATCAATAGTGATGTATTCCAGTCAGGAACAAAAGTAATGCAATACCAACAATTTGAAATTTCATCCATTGATTTCCTTTAGTAACTTACATAAATCAGCCCTATACCAAAGATTTGTAAAATAAGTAGGACTACCCACTGGAATCTTCAAGAAAGATTTGTGCGCAGGCTACCTTTTCAATTCCTTTGTCACACTATCAAGTAACATCATATACCGCATTTGGCCGCATAACCATATAAAAGTTTGACTTAATAAAACATATAGTTGAAGGAGTTTACACAAGTCCGAGTTTCTTCTCCGAAAACGTGAGTAGAGATAAGTAGATACAACACTTGCTCTCCAAATCTATATATATATATATATCTGTAAAATCGTGCGAGGTGGTCCTTAGTATCCATTTTCACAGTCTTTCTTCAAATGCTTGGAATTCAAAGCGTTCACTACCGTGTATCTCTGTCAATTCAGAGTAAAGACGTGGTGCTATAAATGTAATGAAAACTATTCTTTTTGTTTTTTGCTAGAATATGCCTATTTCCTTTTTCTAACTCATGTCTTCAACTATGGCAGTGGGAGATGAGCATTAAAGTTTGCCTATTTTTGTGTTGGTATATTAAAATATTATAGACAAAGAGCTGCCTGAGGTCCATCTTTTTTTATCATTATACCATGTCGAACGACCCTATCTCTGCTATATATGTTCTTGTTTTAATGTTCTAAAAAAAAATTTTTTTCATATACGTATAAGATATATATATTTTGTATTTTTTAAATGGTGATGTAATAAATTGGCTACTTCCAGAAATTGCTTTTTTATTAAAATTACCGCTATTTACTATATTTTGAGGCTTTTATGACGTTCCAGGTGCTTGGATAAGTATTAAATCTTTTTTATTCGTAGAAATCCTCATTAATCGATATCGCTTCATTCATATTTCGCGCGCTTTTGCCGTGCTTTTGCCCGGGCTAGCTTCATCTCACTCGGGCCGCACATTCGCTTCATTGTTCAAATGGGACGGGGCCATTCCATCAGTGTTGACAGTTCATTGGACATGATACTTATTTCATAAGCTGTTTATATTATGTCCATACAGTGAGAGGTAGCATATTTAATATAAAATTAGCTAGAAGCATCAGTAGATTATCAAATTTTGGATTCTTATCATTGCCATTATGACATCTAGAGGCAAAAAACTTGTGGAAATGATACAGTCACGGAAACCTGACGAATGGGCCCCTGAAGAAGATGACATAATCTCATTATCGAATGTATATGACGGTAAGTATATTTCTGAAATCAATCAGTTATTGCCTTTAGATGACCTGTTCATAGTTGTAAGTAAAATTAGCTATCGAAAACAGAACTGGTTCTCAAAGAATCTGCTAACAATAATAAATGGCACTGGCTATGCACGATTTCAAGTTTAATAAAAATGAAGAAATAGCTTCTACTTGGCGTCTTCTATTGTAACGATTGTATGTTTGCATTCATCTTTTCAGGGCAGTTGCAATGTGATGAAGAGACCGAGATTCTTATGGAATTAGAGGCAGTACCAGAATCTTTGGACGGTGGCATACCAAGTGATGTAAAAGTGATTGCAGTAGCAGTAGATAACATGATGAACCGATGCTAGTCGCTGAAAACGTAGGAGATGAAATTATTCCAGTTGTTACAAAGAATACGAAAAAATGATACTTTGGAAAGTTGTAGTAGTGATAGTAAGCACCCTATTGCCAATACTGTCCTAACAGAGTATCATTCAGACTTGAATTACCAAACCGAAACATGTAGTAGTTCCAATGAATCTGTAATCTCTGCAGCTACTAATTGAAAAAAAAGGAAGAAAACGTTCCAGAAACTGTAAAAATGGAAGAACAACATCAGAAAAACAAAGAAAGCAGCAGGCGAGGAATATGTGTCAGCAAAACAGAAAGTAATTCCCGCAAAAGTATGAAACTACCCTGTGGTGTTGATTGTAAGAAGAAGTGCACTCTAAATATCTCATCTGATGATCGAGCTTCAATTTATTCCCAGTTTTGGAGCAGTGAGCTACTTGTGGACCAGAAAAGGCAATTTATTGCTGGTTGCATAGAAGAAGTTCCAGTGGCAACGTGTTCGTACTAGAACTGGGTACGTGCTGGTAAACGCAAATATTCATTGAGATATTTTTTCACGGTGAACGGCAAAAAGATTAGTGTCTGTCGTACTTTCTTTATCAACACTCTAAGCATCTCTCAAACATCAATCCGCTTTGCATTAACAAAAAGACTGAGCAGCGGCGTTGTGATACCTGACCAAAGGGGCAAACACGAACCACCAAACAAATTTGGTCCTGAAGTGAGGAACAATCATAAGAGAACACATTCAGAAGGTTCCCATGTGTAGACTCTCATTACTCACGGAATAAAAGCCAGAGGCGCTACTTGGGAAGTCATCTCAGTATCTCCAAAATGTATCAATGCTTTTATGAAGAATGTATAGAAAAGAATTGAGTCAAGCAAGAAATCCTGAAACAGTGGTTATACGCAGATATATTTAACACCGAGTTCAATCTGTCATTCAAAGAACCGGACAATGACACCTGCGATACTGCGATGAATTTCTTATCAAGTTGAAAGATGCTGGATCAGTGGAAGAGCGAAATGAATTACAAAAGAAGTATGAAGCTCATCTTCTGGATGCTGATACCGTTACACGTATAAACGAAAAGACAAAGAGGGAGCTAGAGCTCAACCAGGTATAAAAATGATAACTGTTGATTTACAAAAATGCCTTGCTACACCTTTGCTAAAAATTGTCAAAGTTTCTACTCCCTCAAATTATGGACGTTTAATTACACTATTTATGATGCAACAGACAAATCTGCAGATTGCTTTGTTTGGGATGAGTCAGTGGCCGGTCGTGAGGTAATGAGATGGCTTCATGCATGATGATATCTTAGATCTTCCTAATTCGATTGAAAGGATTATAATTTGGAGCGACAATTGTCCTTCTCAAAATAGAAACCAGCAGATGATCATGTGTTATTCTACCTACTTATGATGAAGCCTTCTTTGAAATGCATGGAGCATAAGTTTCTTTTGCGCGGACATACCCATATGGAGGCAGATACAGTACATGCAAGAATTGAAAAACAAATCAAGTCACTACCTCAGTTCCAAATATGTACACCGTGGGATTGGCAGCAGCTAATCAGGTTTGTGTGGTCCTAATATAGCCGTAAAAGAAATGGAAACAGATAACTTCAAAAATTTCAATGATCTACAAGGATGTATTTTTCAGTCAAAGAAAAAAACAGTGACAAACCAAACATTTTTTGTATCAAAAGAGGTGCACATGAAATTTTTGGCGGAAACACCTGGAGTAATGCATTTCAAAACAAAATTCTGTCAAGAAAATTTCGAACAGATCGACTACCATAGAGTTAATCGCAGATCAACACGACAATTGAATAATCCCAGTACATCCAGTTTGCCCACGCTGCTGCCCATAAGAATGATCCAAAACCAATTTCCACAAAAAAATACACTGATTTGCAAAAACTATTGAAATGGGTGCCGCAGCGCTTCCATGGTTATTATAAAAATCTTCGCCATGAGGCAGTTCATGAAGATGACTAGATGGTTGAATATTTGCATAGAGTGCATTATTATAATTAAATTTTACTATTAAAGTTAGTATTAATGAGTCTATGTAATGAGAACCCAAATAAACGTTATTTTTTTCTATTTTCAATTATTTCTTTATTGCTGTACAGGACTTTGTCATCAATGTACAACATTGACTGAGAGCCACACTGTATTAAGTCGCTGATTCAGGTATTTAGTCACAAGATATTATGTCCATTCTCAGAACCATACAATATTTTGTCCACAAGTTGTGTTTCAATCAAAATTTTTAAATAAAAGGGTGTATTTTCACAACTGCTTGTGATACCTTTCAACCAACATTGACTGGAGCCAGCAAAATACATTTTAGCATCATACCTGGGACATCGTCCATAGCGTATTCTACAATCTAAATTCTTCAGATTGCTATACTGTAAAATTTATAAAGTGTGACTTAATACTGTTTAGTTCTGACGTCCAGATATACTTATTATCTTTGTATGTATTTTGAAGAAAACAGAATTTCCTTCTGCACAGAAGTATGAACGTATTCGTACGTACCGATTTTCTAACTAGTTCATTCCAGTGAACTTGTCAGTAACAAAACCTTAAGACATAATTTACCTTTCTGTGCATGTACTATCTCCAAATTATCATCATCTCAATCATGACTTTGATAAAGGTGTTTCCTTTTTAGCAGCAACTTTCCTGTGTCTGCTCGATTTCAATGTGCTTCCCATTGCAGTTTGTCCTATAATACCCTATCACACGTACTACATGTGTAAGTGTTACATAAACTATTTGGAACGGATTTGTTGATTTTCTTTGGAAGAGGTTCATGTGGACATTGTTCATTGTAGATGTAACTTCTCACAATTTCTTCAGCAACTTTTGTAACACACTCTTCGAATTTTGAGACATCTGATGTATCAAGTCCATAAACAGGTGGTACCTGAAGGTGTTACAATATCGGTAATTTATTTTTACTTACAGTCCATATTGCTACAGAAAGCCACCGTCACCCTTAATTTATACTTAAGCGGTCTAAAATTACGAGTATTAGTTAATAAAGTATGGAAAAATACACGGCAAATTTAAAATACAGAAATGAACGCCATTGGTGTGACGTCACGGTTTCGGCAAGTGAGTAACCAATCATTTGTCGCTGTCATTGTTTTTCAACCTATGAGTATCATCAGATCTAAAGAGTTGACGCGGAGTCCGCTACTGAGCTATCTAACTACAATAAGTTATAAGTTACGCGTCTTTTTCAACAGATGTCAACATCGCTTGACAGCGGACGTGCTGCCGCCAGCAGAATTTCGCCGTCCGAAAAACAGCAAAAGTAAAATAGAACCTTTCAAAACTTGACCGCAAAAAACGGCGTTTAATCAACGCCATTTAATTTGAAAAGAGTACAGGCACAACCATGAATGAAATATGTATTCACACTATTCACGATGTTATACTAACGCAAATAATTGACAGATACTATAAAAAACATGCATATTCCCTATTGTAATATTCTGACTGTTTAAAGGAACATGCAAAACAACGAAAATTAAGTACTATTGTAAAACGACCCATATAAACACAATAAAAAATTCAAAGATCTTTCGCAAACAAAACATGTTTGTTAATTCTTACCATACAGACTACAGACACTTTTCCCTTCTAAAAAAGATATATACTTATTGTATATAATATACAGGGTGGCCAAACGAGTGACTTCATAAAAAAATTAGGTTCAGGTCGAGAGGTATCCGAATTACTCCCATGTATTAGGTCCGATTCATTTTAGCTTAGGAGTTATGATTTTTTTTCGGATTCCTCAAGAATTTTTGAGTTTCGTGCTTATTTTGGCCATAACTTCGTAAATAATTGTGATAAATGCCTTTCTTTTTCGTTATTATTTAGGTAAAACTTGAGGCTTAACTATCGTAAGATCAATGTCGTCAAGTAACTAATACTTCCTTGTAAATTCAATTAAAAACGTAGAACATAACAAAAAAGTGCAACAACTTGGAATGCTTTTTAAAGATAGAAAAAACATGTTCTTCCTATGCATAAGTATCTTAAAAACCTTCTTACTTTATCAGCTATTCACCACAAAAATTTCATCAACCTAGCTTTAAATAGAACCGAACCAAAAATTAGATTACCCGCTGTTCAACGGAAATTGTAAAAACAGAAAAAAAAACGTCTGACCTTGGTTGAACAGCTGACTATTATTAAAATTTTATTTCATAATGTCTGCCTCCAACAGAAATGCACATTCCACCTACGCATGAAATTTTGCTTTAACGCTCTAAATGCTTGAGTGTTGTTTTTTATAACATGCGTCACTTCATCAATCTTATTCCTTAGTGCGTTTTCATTTGCATATTCTTGGGCAAAAAGTTATATCTTTAAAATAACCCAGGTACAAAAAAATCTATGGGGTTGAGGTCAGGCGAGCGTGGAGGCCACCTTATCGGTCCGTTCCGTCCGATCCATTTGTTGGGGAACTTCGGGTGTAAGTAGTGTCGCACTATAGTTGAGTTGTGACATGGTGCGCCATCATTCTGGAAAAAGCAGGTATTTATCACAATTATTTTTGAAGTTATAGCCAAAATAAGCACGAACCTAGAAAGTTCTTGAAAAATCCGAAAAAAGAAATCATAACTCCTAAACTAAAAAAAAAAAATCGGGCTATATACATGAGGGTAATTTCTTTTTATGACGTCACTCGTTTGGTCACTCTGTACATTATATATATATACAGGGTGACTTCGAAGTTGAGTCATTTATTTTAACAGTGAGTAGATCTGATCAAAAGAAATGTTTTTTTCCTTTACCATTTTTCTGGTAAAATTAAAGTAACAAAGTTATAGCCCTTTGGAAGTTGAGTACCGCCCTGTCCTCAATCATAATATTATGTGCTCGTGTTTGGCGACAACGGATATAATTCGCCTTATCGGTTCAACGCATCGGAAACAAAAAAGCGAAAGAATTTGGAACGATGTTTTTACAATTATTTCATTCAGTTGTATACAGTCAGTGTCAGTCGGTAGTGGATAGTGGTGTCTGTTGCGTGGCTCAAACGAAATAAAAAATGGCACACGTTTATGCGGATCGGTTTCCCAATCGAGTGCAAACCAACCCCTCGTGCCTTTGTTAATGTAGTACAACGGGTTCGTGAATCATTTGACTTAAGACCTCACATATGGACGGCATGCCGGTGCTCCAAGACCTCACGATCAAATACAGGTCCGCACTGAAATACTTGTCGGGAGGATACTTTATAAAACAAGGTAAATTTTTTTTTTTATTTTTACACACATATTTTGGTTTATCTTCCTTCTACAATCATTATCTGAAAATTAATGACACAACTTCAAAGTCACCCTGTATATTGTCAATTATTCGTTATGATAACTTTTCTGTTTTATCAATTACATTGTTAAATATCAGGTTAAATAACTGAATATAAATGAACCACTTTGCCATTCTGTATTAAGACCTTTTACAAAATTAGTTCACACATACATGCAAGAATCCCTCTCCACCCCTCTGCTCAAAGCCACTGACCTTGTAACAGTGATGAGCCACTGCCAAGAATTTCGTACTCTGGTTATAGGGTCAATAAAACATAACTAACCTGTCTGTCACTCCTACCAAGGAATCGATTGCTAACCCATCTCTTTTGTTTCCTGGCAAATCTTCTGGTCACTAGCTTCAATTGTTCAACAGCTTTAGATGATTCAGATTTTCCTTCAGATGAACATTGCTCTTTATTACTTAACATTAAGTAGTTGTGAAACTCTTTAAATCCTATTGCTTGATATATTCCTTTAGTATAATCTGGATCACTACAAACGAAAATAATAAATCTTGATTGTAGAATATAATATAGCTTACATTCAAAGTATGCTGCTCAAAATGAATGGGTAGAGTGGGTACCGAAGAATAAGATCAGCCAATGATGGGTGAAAGGGTACATGACTGGTTCAGGGTAAATTGTATTATATTGAACAGGTATAAGTCACAATTTTCACGCTTTTCCAACTCGACAAATTATGACAACAGCCTTCACATTAAATCAACGGACAGAGACAAGAGAATAATGTAAAATTCCTTGGCATATGTATAACAAATATCTGCAAATGGGAAATGCATATAGACAATATATGCAAGAAACTACTACCTCCTGTTTCTTGTATAAACCAGCTGAAGTCTTTTGTGGATAGATCTGTGATCATCATGTATTATTACTCTTACTTTCAGAGCACCATTTCCAATGGAGTAATTATCTGGGGTTCATCGAATTATATAAACAGGATATTTGTAATCCAGAAAAGGGCTATGAGGATGACGAAAGCAATAGAACACCTTGTAGAGATATGTATTTTCTTCAAGCTAAAGATACTCTGCCACTACATATTTCATCTTTTACTTTATGTTGAGAATAACTGCAGTATAAACTCCGAGGCAAAGGCTATCAATAACGAAAAGCAGTCCCAAGTACACTGGAATGAAGTACAATATTTAATAAACTACAAAAGACAATCAAATCCCCATGAATTTAATAGAATTGTCAAACAGTTACTCCTTAGTAGAGCTCATTACTTGGTCAATGAGTACCTCTGTGATAATTAATTAATTAATTATTGATTGTTGCTACAATTTTCTTGCTGCTGCCTTTGATGGAGCGCAAATGAGATTTGAATTACATTACTTACTTAACGGCTATGAGATTTTTTGATCAGAAGGTAGTATATACAACATACTAGTATTTCAGCCAATTCCATTGTACCAGCCTTTTTCATGTTTTGTGTTATGTTCCCTAAAGTCTGACAGGTAAAAGCTTTATGAAGCCTACCTAACAATTTTCTTCAGATGCTGCAATCTGTTTCCATACTTACACATTAGTATTTAGCCTCTCTTGATTGTATTTATGATGGAATTCTAACAGTTCATTCACAAGACCTTGTTCCATCATTGAATCAACCCGCTTATTCAACCTGTCATCTAAAACATCTTGAACGCACTGCAGCCACAATACTATTGCATTAGTGAATCGTAGTCCACCTCCAGAGGTTGAAGCATCTCTTGCAGATTGTTGCTCTGCTAGTATATCACTGACCTTCTGTCCTTTATCGTAAATGATTTCAAGTGCTCTAAAATAGTACAATGAAAGAAAAAGGACTGGAGTAATAATTTTAGAGTCAAGAATATGAATAAAATGTCTATGACCCCAAAGCCAGAAAAGTATAAGTATAAAGAGCCAAACAGTAAAAGAGGACCATAATTGCATATTACTCTTGAGATACAGACAAAACATATGACATGGCACATAAGTAGATACTGGTGCACTCTGGGCGCCCCCACCACTTCCACTTTTTGGCCACGCCCACCACATCCACCGCGTGCTCTGATTGGCGGATCAAACGGCGGGAAATTTGAACGGGGTTGATGGTATATGTTGATTGGCGGGAACCGCTAGATCCACCGCGTGCTCTGATTGGCGGATCAAACGGCGGGAAATTTGAACGGGGTTGATGGTATATGTTGATTGGCGGGAACCGCTAGATCCACCGCGTGCTCTGATTGGTGGATCAGACGGCGGGAAGTTTGAACGGGTTGATGGTATATGTTGATTGGCGGGCCCCGTTAGATAGCGCACCCGACCGGAAGTGATTCAGACAGCCGACGATAGTAAGGTGTAGTATAACGTCTATGCGTAAGCGATGTGACTCATTTCATGTTTTGCGGTAAATATTTGCATATAGATCGATAAAAGCCCATGAATAATGATATTTATAGATGCAATTCTGCTGATTCAGTTTAAATGGAAAAACGTATAAAATTCGCGGGAAACAATGCGTATAGGATGATCTCAATAATCAACACGTCATATTCAGTGTGCATATAAAAATGGAATTGCTCATATATGTGGTGCATACAGTTAATGTTAGTTAATTTTTAACATTGATACAATATTGAAAACCTACGTCGCAAATGAGGTTAGGTTCAGGGCAGGTGTTGTCGTAGCGGTGATATGCAAGAAGTACCGGGCGGGGCTGTTAAGCATGGGTGAATGGGCAGGAAGCGCAGGCTGTCAACGAGTTAATACTGACCAACGATAACAGCGGTGACCTTGAAACACTGTGGTCAGTTAAAAAGTGGTGGGGGTAAAATCGAGATTATAAATACCTATGAATCACCGCAAATTATCTTGTCAGTTATCTGCAGCGAACAGACGTGCTCAGTTCAGATTTAGTCGCTAGTTAACGTTTTAGTTTTTAAAAAATGGAAAAATTCTTCATCGTTAAGGATTCTA